ATGAGAAAAAGATAATATTATTTAAATTTTTATTTATTTGAATTTAAGAAAGCAGCAGCAACTTCATCAAAAAAATACATTTAATTTTTCTACAACTATACATAAAATCATCACCATTTGAGTCCTTATAATTTACGCCGTGTCGACATGGTGTAGCCATCTTAATATATGGTGGTGATGTTGTTGATGCTGGAGTTATTGATAGTGTAATTCCTCTACAATCTCTTCGACTTTGATTAACTTCCATTGACTCTACGACGATGTGTTCTTTTAGTACACAGTGCATTAAATCACATAAATGTGAGGCTAAAACAGACACAAATAAATAAAAGATAAATTATAGAAAACAATTTTATTTTACCGTGCATTGATCCTCGTCCTGTCGACAATACTGGAAGATCATCTTCCTTTGATCGAAGAGCCACATGGTACTTTAGTAAAGCGATGGTATGTGTTTCAAATTTTTTGCATGTTTTATTAATTTGGCGCTGAAAGTCGGTGTAGATTGTGGTGTTGCGAGCGATAGATAATGGTTGACGATATGGTGATAAGATATCTGTTTCACTACCAAAACAGGATAACCATTCAGCAAAGTAAGGACCTATAAAGACAAAATTATTATTATGATAATAATAAAAATAAAATAAATTTACCGTCATGTGGTTTGGTACCAGTCATAATTTCCAATTGTTCTCTATTTAATTTTGGCTTAATGTGTTCAAAATGAATCCATTTAATATAATTATTTTGTTGTATCATGATATCATATAATTTGATAGCATCGTCGGTACTAATAATATGAAGAAAGTGTTGACCAGCGCAACGTTTGTCTTTTGTTTCTGTCATCGTGATGGTCTTCTTAATTCACAAATTTTGGTCTAAAATAAAACAAAAAAATAATGAATTTTTATATTTTTTTTGAACTTACGTTTATGACAGAATATGTAAAATGTAATTTTTTTGTAGAGCTTGATTGACCAGTTTCTGTCAAGTTATACTTTGACTTCATCAGAATCTAGAAGAAAACAAAATAGAAAAAAACTTAAAACTTACATAAATGATTATGGTAAAGATGTATTTAGTGTTAACTGATACTTTATGCTGAAATTAACCGTGTATTTATAGTATAGAAAGATGTAAACATATACCCTCGTTTAAAATAGTAATCTGTTAGATAACATGTATATGTATTATATTGCTGTGTGATTTCTTTTCCATTCTGTTTCTTTTGTTAGCCTCGATGAATACTTTGTCATATAGATGTATAATATCTCTTTCTAATATATCTTTCATCTGGATATCTTCTCCCTTCCCCAGCTTTTTTATTTTCTTTAATAAAATTTGTTGGTCGATATGGCTTATTAATTATTTCTTTCACTTTATTATTTTCGCATCCTGCCCACTTCCTAGCAACAATTAAATTCAAATTTTACTAATTGTTTTACAAATCACCAAAAAACATGAGAAAAATATAATCCCTCCATGGGACTCGAACCACACATCTCCTGCTATCCTAGCAGTCGTCACAGCCCGCTAGACCACAACAGATATCTAATCTTAGTTTTATTATAGTAATGTATCATCACTGACGCTTTTGTCTCCATAGAATATTTTCTCAGCATGGAGAAATAATTTGAAGAAAATTCAAGTAATTTCATCTCACAACATTCTTTTAAAAGAACAGCGATAAAGTTAAATGAACATAACCAATAAATCTGATTAGTTTTTCTTAAAATTCTATGTAAAGAAAATTTCTCGTACCATATCAGAATGTTTTGATGCTAGTAATATAATTACAAAAAAACAAGAGAGAATGTGGGTATGAGTATTATATATTGATATTGTATCTATCATCACACCCACACCCGACCAACGATGATTGAGGGTGACGTATTCAAATCTGAGGTTAGTTCTTTTTAATAAAAAAAAGGGTTTTTTTACGAAAAAAATTAATTTTTTATAAAGTTTGTCTGAATGTAAACAGGTTGAAAAATGTCTTGCTCAAAGTTATAAAATAGAATATATACTACGGACATAGATTCCAAATAATAGTGACGCTTTGCTCTCCGCTGTTCACCACTACTAAATCTGGTTTCGTATCGTTGTCGATATCAGCTGCTACGATATTGGATGGACCGGAACCAGCCATATACGTGATTTGATTTTGAAAAGTTTCATCTTCGTCATTAAGCATCACGGTAATAGTGTTGTCACGTGCGTTGACGACCGCTAAATCCAGCTTACCATCATTGTTGAAATCGGCGACTGCTATACCGTAGGGATGAGAACCGACTGTATGCGTAATTTGGTTTTGAAAAGTTCCGTTTCCATTACCATGCAGTATGCTTATGGTGTTATCATCAGAGTTGCTCACTATTAGATCTAGTTTGCTATCATTATTGAGATCAGCTGATACAATAATAAGTGGCAGGGCGCCGACTGTATACGTAGTTTGATTTCCAAAAGACCCATCCCCCTTTCCAAGCAAAACGCTTATGGTGCCATCAAAAAAGTTGCCCACTACCAGGTCCGGTTTCCTATCATTGTTGAGATCGGCTACTGTGGAACCATATGCATGAGAACCAAGTATATACTTAATTTGATTTTTAAAAGTCCCGTTGCCGTTCCCAAAAAGCATGCTTATGGCGTTTTCTTCATCGTTAGTCACTACTAGATCTAGTTTACTATCATTATTGAAATCGGCGGTTCGGACTGATAATGGACTAGTGCCAGCTGCATACGTAATTTCATGTTCGAAAGTTCCATTGCCGTTCCCGAGAAATATGCCTATGCTATTGTCACCGCCGTTGGCCACTACTAGATCCAATTTACTATCATTGTTGAAATCATTGACTATGATTGACGTTGGACGGGTGCCAGTCGAATATGTTGTTTCTTTTTGAAACGTTCTATGTCCATCGGCAAGTAATACGCTGATGGCGTTACTCTGTGCATCTGTCACTGCTAGATCCAATTTAGTGTTATTGTTAAAATCACCGACGACTAAATAGAGTGGGAAAGAGCCAACTGCATAGTTAATTTGATTCCAAAGCGTATCATGTCCATTGGCAAATATCAGGTTGATAACGCTGCCGTCTTTGCTGGCCACAGCTAAATCGAGTCTGTTGTCATTATTGAAATCGGCAGTCGTGATTGAAAAAGGCCTGAACCCAAGATGATACGTAATTTGATTTTGAAAAGTTCCATTCCCATTAGCAAGAAATATGCTTATGCTTGTACTATCATAGTTGGTCACTATTAGATCTAGCTTACTATCATTATTGAAATCTCCAACTATAATAAATGTTGGACTGGCACCAGTGGAATATGTTGTATGATTTCGGAACGTCCCGTCTCCGTTACCAAGTAGCACGCTTATAGTGTTGTCCTGTTGGTCGACCACTGCTAAATCCAGCTTACTATCATTGTTGAAATCAGCTACTTCGAACGATGTTGGACGAGAGCCAACTATATACGTAACTGGAGCCTGGAAAGTTCCATTCCCATTTCCCAGCACTACGGTGATTCTACCAGTATCATAGTTGTCCATTGCTAGGTCTAGTTTACCATCATTATTAAAATCACCAATAGCAACAAACATCGAACGGGAATCAATTTTATAAGTAGTCTCATTCGAAAAAGTTCCATCACCATTACCAAACAGCACGAGTATGGTGTTTTCAAAAGAATGGGTCACTACCAGATCTAGCTTATTATCATTATTGAAATCACCTAGAGCAATAGATTCTGGAAAACGGCCAACTGTATGAGTCATTTGATCTTGAAATTTTCCGTCTCCGTTATTAAGCAGTACGCTGATGCTATTGTCCTTAGAATTGAGCACTACTAGATCCAATTTCCTATCATTGTTGAGATCACCTACTGTAGCATCGGATGGATCCGATCCAACTGTATACGTCATTTGATTTTGAAAACTTCCATCTTCGTTGCTAAGAAGTACATTGATACTGGTCTGATCAGCGTTGATCACTATTAGATCCGGTTTGCCATTATTGTCGAAATCCCACGCTGCCACAAATTTTGGACTACCGTCAGTGTATAAAATGTTACTTGGACCAAACGGTGATTGACAGATAACTTCTAAAGATAGATAGATATCGAGAGAAATATAAAAAGAGAGTGTGGCTGTAGGTATATGACAGTGAATACAAGAGGAACAAAATACTCCACACTCATACACATTTCATGAAAAACAACTACACATACCTCATTTAAGATTAGTATTTAAGGAGCGTTACTCTAACACTTACCTGGCTTCTGGGTTGTCGTTGATGTTGTCTGTGGTAGTGTCGATGTGGTCGTTGTTGTTGTTGTTTGTGGTAGTGTCGATGTGGTTGTTGTTAGTGTACTTATTACCGTTGGTAATGAGGGTGATACAGTGGTGTTTTCTGCCTTTGTTGGAACAAGAATAACAAATTTTAATAGTAGAAAGAGGATAACTGCAAAAATCGCTACAATGATCAACGTGATGAAGATAATTTTAACTCGACGATGATGCCACCATTTGTGTCTTTCAATAGTCTCAGTTGTATACTCACTAAAGCTCGCATTCATATGCATATTATGTCTTACAAGAAGTTTAAACTCGCAATAGACTTATCTTTTGTTCGATACTATTTAATATTCGTCTGTAACTCACAGAGAAGTTATGAAAGATAAAATACTATTCTACCTTCAACGCTATAGCTGCTTCTATACTCTTATCTGTATATAATAAATTTTACATGTAAGAGTGATAACGCAAAATTATGCTTTGCTTCTAAATTTTCTCACGTCATATACCTTTATCTTAATGTTATTTTTGTGTTAAATATAGGTTGTGTGTGATCGGGTAGATGCTAGTATGAGCATGGAAAAAACAGCATTTCGATGTGGGTGTGAGATTGTACCTACAATCACACCATATCCACACCCGATCGAACAGAAAAATGATTATGACTTCTTCAAAACGATAACAAGCAGTATGTCATCGCTTGACACTATATCGATTTCCATTCGGGAAAGATCTTCACACAGAATGCTAGTTCACCGCAAGCATTACGTAAAGCCAGAAAACAAAATGATATTCCACCCTGAAAAGAATGCAAACCAACAGTGTATATGGTAATAGAACTGTTATTAGGAAATATAATCCTCTATGTTTTTTTATTCATTGATGAAATATTCATATACTATTTATACATTTATAGAAAACCTATGCAGATAGTAAAGCTCAATCATCTCACTATGTATAGTTTTGATTATTAAACGTAGTCAAATATAATTAGTTTTTTCAAACGTAGCAATCCGAAATATTCATATCCTTTTTTGATTGATACTATCTATATCGTTCAATAAATTTTGGCTTTTCTTAACAAATAGAGGCCTCTAGTTTACGGTTATTGTACACTTTAAAACCAATAGAACAAAGACATCTGGCGCTAGCGCACAAATGAGTAAGAATATCTAATGCACATTGCATTCGTATTCTCAATGATATTTTGTCATGAAGCATAAATGGTTTATATTTTTTTCAAGTTTAATTCCCATTTTCCTCGCTTTCCTATTCACATTCCCTCGTTATACCGAGCAAGATGATTTCAATATGTTACAAAAATATTTATTTCTCAAACATGATCTATTGTCTATTATGACATTTAATATTCGTGTCGATATTGTTGAGCATAATCCAGAAAATAATTTTAAAAAAAGAATCGACCGTTTAACTAGAATAATTGAAAAATGGCAACCAACTATTCTATGTGTACAAGAACCATTAACTGATCAATTTCAACATTGGCAGTTTCATTTACCAAGTTATTATCAATCGATTGGTTCTCCATATTCATCATCTCAACTCGATTTTCAAGTAGCAATTTTATACAATAATCAAATATTGAAATTATTAGATCAAGATTATCTTTGGTTATCGAAAACACCTCGAACTGTTGGGAGTAAAGACTGGAATAGTCATGCAATTCGAACATTAAATATTGCACGTTTTCAATTATTATCCAATGAATCAATAAACTTACTTGTTTTTAATACACATTTAGATGCAAAAAGTGAACAAGCTCGTCAAGAACAAGCAAAAATTGTTCGTTCAACAATCAATGAATGGCAAAGAAAATATCCGACAGATGTTGTTCTATTACTTGGTGATTTTAATAGTATTCCACAACAAACAACTTATAACATCTTAACATCATCTGATTTCCTCTACGATACTTGGACAATTTGTAAAACTCATTCATCAACATGTGTATCTAACACATTTTCATCAACATTTCATGGTTGGCTTGGTTCAATAATCAATACTTATGGTCTTCAATTATTGCAAACAATTGGATTTAGTTATCATGGTGTGGGTGTTATTTTACCACATGGAATTCCAAAAAATTCTTCGTCGTATATTGATGTTTTGAAAAAATTTACAAGCTATTCTCATCTGATCAACCCATCAGAAATGATATCTATATGGTCTTCACATCGATTTCATGTTGATTGGATTTTATATCAAAATTCTTTAGATAAAACTCAATATTTACAACCTAAATTTATCTCTGTGGTTGACATTCGCTCACAAAGTTATTCGTCTGATCATTTTCCTGTCATTGCTTTGTTTCAATTAAAACATAAATAAACCAAAAAAAAAAGTATATTTTATTTTCACTTTCATTCAACTAT